GTTCTTCTCTCAGTTTCACCTCACACTACCTACCTACCACTACTCCTAATTGTAGGCATACGGGGAACCCCATAGCAGCAGCCAGAACCGTGTTCATGAGAGAACATGCGGGGGCTGCTCCCGACCTGCAGGTGGGCGATACCGGCTAGGGGACAGCCAGTAGCATCAGGGACCATGCCAATAGGACCCATCCCTGTGCCTCCCCTCAGGTCCCCTCTCCTACGAACATCAGCAGACTCTGCTCAATGTGGATCGGGGGATCCAGTGGTCTATCTCTAGGTGGCAGGCGCCAAGCATGCCCAGGAAGGTACATGAGGCCCATGGGGATTGAACCCACGACCTCCTGAATGCCACTTGCGTGCCTTACCAACTGAGTTAGGCCGCTGGATGGCTTGTCGAATTTGGACAGGACGGCCTTTCAGGCCTTTTCTATTGTCTTGTCATTATAGTATTATGGGAACCCCGTAGCAGCCACATCCGTGCTCAGGCTTCCAACTAGGGAACATGCAGAAGCTGAACCCACCAGGAGGTGCGATACCAACTACAGCAGGTGGCAGGTGGGCGATAGCGGCCAGGGGTCAGCCGATAGCATCAGGACGGAGCTTCTTTTATCGGCCGATCAGTGTGCCTCCACTCCGGTCCCCTCCCCCTATGAACATCAGCAGTCTCTGCTCAATGCCACTAGGGGGGCCGAAATCCTTGTGTTGTGCCCCTGTCAGGCGCTTGTGCAACTTCGCAATCTGGACCTCCCCGTTTAGGCCTTGACCTTTTGCAATATAGCGCCTAGGAGAAGTTGGCAAGTACTGGGGCATTTTGCAAAGCTGGACGGTACCCCGTAGGGGTATATTGCAGACATGGGATTCCAACCGACGCGAGGGTCATTTCACAAAATATATTTTCTGTCAGAGGGGCATCCCGCTCTACCCGCATCTTTTAGGGGCATTCTGGCATATATCTCAACTTATGAGGGTATTTTGAAAATATTCCAATGCAGAAAGATACATTTGTGGATTTGGTGAGTGGCGCGGCGAGGCCCCAGGTAATTCGGATGTACTTCGTTCCGCTCATCCGTCCAGTTGCATATTCTTTTCGAACTTGGGTCTCTGTTCCAATAGTTCATGGGTGTGCTGACTGAGCCCCCGTCAAACCAGAAATACGGACGCACATTCCTGTCCTCGTTGCAGCGGTGTCGACATTTCCATTTTGGAGTGCTGGCTGGAGAGGAAGGGTGGGCAAAGGGTTTTCGCCACGGCGACGGCATTTTTGTTGGCAGCGCGTGTGGGGTGTGTTCAAACAGCCGCAGGTGTGGCGTCTCTTTTTCTCTCTCTCTCTCTCTCTCTCTCTCTCTCTCTCTCAACACACACACACACACACACACACACATACACACACGCACACACACACACACACAGTCCTGATGAGTCGGTGAAAGTCCGACGAAACAGTCTGGCACAGTGATGCTTTTTTTGAGTGTATAGCGAATGACAACACACGCACACACACACACACACACACACACACACACACACGCACACACACACACATATACGCACGCAGAGAGAGGGGTGTTGTACTTCGAGAGGCGTGCGGAAGGGGAAGAGTTTCCTTTCACAATTTGGCCAGAAAAAGAAATAAGTGGATTCCGCCGGCGTGGCGAAGTGCAGCCTGTCTCCCTGCCTTTCTCTCTCCGTCTCTCTGTCTGTTTTTCTCCCTCCCTCTCTCCCTCCCTCCCTCCCTCCCTCCCTCCCTAACTCCCTCTCTCTTTCATCGTTGTGCGTGAAGAGGTGGAGAGTTCCGTTCACAGTGGATCTAGAAACGAAATTGGCGGATTCGCCCGACGCGGCGAAGTGCACCCTCTGTTTTTCCCTCTCTCTGTGTCCGCGCCTCCCTCCTACATCCCCTCTTCCCGCTACCCATCCATCCATTCGCTTAGGGCTGCAACTCCATTTCTGTGGGGGTTGTATGTTGCAAGCGGGACACGCTTTATGCACGATCTGAAGGTTACGGACAGGCAGGGGGAAAAAGGACCTCTAGGTGGAGGTGGATGTCAGGTGCCTGGTCAGGCAGGGAGGAGGAGGTCGCCGTCGAAATCCCGAGGAGCTGTAGTAGCAGGAGAAGAACGAAGGGGGAGGGTGATGATGCGGGATCAGGAGGATGAGAGCGTCAGGATTTGGTCAGCCAGAACCTGGATGCGGCGACAGAAGAAGCAGACGGAGTGTCACGGGGATGGGGTGAAGCATGCAAGAGGTAAGTTTGCCGGCGTTAACGTGGGTGTGGATGGGGAGGACGTCGAGGAGGGTCCTAAAGTAAACGGGAGGAGGATGTAATTCGGGGACCCATTCTGTGGAGAAGGGTATGAGCAGCGTGGACTGGGAGGGTGCCGATCAGGATGTGGAATTGAGAGGAGGAGAAAGGGTCGGAATGTCAGCCAATTGGGGTGAGGATGTATGACCCGATGAAGAGACTGCAAGGCAGGAAGAGGGGGTCAGCGCGGAGGGAGGGGGAAAGGAAAGGTTGTAAGGAAAGGAGAGAGAGCAGAAAAATGACGACGGGCGTCGATCACGAGAGGGACAGGGTAAATGGGAATATGCCTGAGTGACGGAGAGGGAGGGAGCACAAAGAGGGAACGAACGACAGAAAGAGGAAGAGAGGAAAGGACATAGCAGACCAGGAAGGGCCACATCGAGTATTGGAGAAGTTGGACCTCGAAGAGAGAGGATTGCATCTGAGCAAAGAAAGGCACGGAGAAAGAAGGGAACGGGGAGGCGACCGACGCAGGACAAGTAGAGAAGAGGATGGGAAGTTTAAAGCGGATTGCTGGGGGAAAGATCGAGAGGGGGAATGGAGGGCGCATGGGGAAAGGCGGAANAAGAGGATGGGAAGTTTAAAGCGGATTGCTGGGGGAAAGATCGAGAGGGGGAATGGAGGGCGCATGGGGAAAGGCGGAAGGGAGGCACTGAAAAAGGAAGAAAGGGACGATGGCGGTCTTCTCTGTGTGTTCTGCTATCATGTGGTCTCTTCACCTCCGGTTTGCTATCATTATCGTTTGTTTGTTTGTTACCGCCCCCCCCCACTCCTTCCCCTCTCAATCTCCGTTCTACTGGTGGGGATGTTGGCAGCCCTGTCGCATCTCTAAAGCCTTTTTCATATTTCGCGTGCCGGCATTGTTGACGCCAACAAAAAAATGCTCATCAGCTCTGCGCTTTGAAACCAAATGCAGAACTGATCATCGCATCAGAGCTGATGAGCATTTGTTTGTTGGCGTCAACAATGCCAGCACTCAGTGGATTTTAATCAAGTCACGATGTTTGTCAATCCCACAACCAATCCTCTCAGTGGAGCCTTCTTGCACTCATCAAGATGGCGAATAGATCGATCAAATAGGGGAATGGATTGTGACTAAAATGGGTGAATATATTGTCTAAAATCGGTGAACAACAAGCGGTCGTTAGTGTGGTAGGTTGATTTTTCCGCCCGCTTCTGTGTTTCTTCATGCTGACCGCCATCACCGAGTGTACTATTTTAATTAACCCATCGACATGCTAAACACATCATCTGATTTTTATTACACTTCATCATCTTACTCGGATCAAACGTAGAACGCTGTTCCAAACAATAGACGTCGTTCGTAATATCGCTCCTGCAGTATGCTTCCTTTCCTCTCTCTCTCTCTCTCTCTCTCAATGTGCACCACAGAGAGGCACTCGCCTTCGCTCTGGAGAGACGGAACTCGAACAGCCGTTGGAGATTCAGTCTCGCCAGCTGGTCACACGGGATATCCATTTAAGGAAACTTTAAAAAGCGAAACATTTTTTTTTTTCTTTCTTATTTTCTAACCCCTGGCATCAATTAGACACTACTGTTACTCGATGGGGGTGGGGGAAGATGAATAGGGAGGCACCGTTACTGGCAAAATGCTCGGTCCTTGTGTTAGCCGGGCCCCCACCGGCGGCCCCAACCCTGCACCCTAAAACGCTAGGGCAAGGGGCAAACATGCCCTTACCCCTCTCCAACGACCGAGAGAGGTAACCTCCCTTCACCGAAGAGAGGTAGAAAGCTATGCTTGCAGGGGTCCCCTGTATAGCCTTAGGAGTAGTGGTAGGTAGTGAAAAGAAAGATATGTTCCATGACATGGCAGAACGCCAGTTAAAAGAAAGATACGTGAGGTGAGAGAAAAATATATGGCTGTCCCCCGATGAGGAGAAGGCAGCTTTTTTTCAAAAAAAAAGAAAAAGAAAAGTGAGGTTCATGGACAAGAAACAGGAGCCTACGATAGGCGAGAAAAAGAAATGCGTGGGTGTTTTTTGCCTACTCACCCGGCTATTTCACGTTGGTAGCTGGCGGGATGGCGGGGAGGGGCAGGCCCGATGGGCGCGGGAGTGTTGTGGATATTTGGCTTTCTGACGGGATGGCAGGCGAGGCCTCCATGCCGTTTCCAAGAGACGCCCGCCTCCAGTCAAAACGGTTTTAAGGTAGGCCTGCCACCCCTCCAGCCCGTTTCCAAGAGACACCCGCCTCCAGCCAAAACGGTTTTAAGGTAGAAACCAGCCCAAACGGTACCGGCCTAACGGGGTCACCGTTTCAGCCTGCCCTCTAGAGGCCGTTCCGCCCAGCTGACAAGAGGCCGGGTGCATTTTCAATTTACACCCGGGGCTAGGCCCCACTAACACGAATTAAGCGATATTGACCGTAGATAGCAAAGATCAACGGCCAGAATCTCTTAATCCGTGCAAGTGGGACCTTGCCCCCGCTCCGAGCCTGTGCCCAGCCTATTTCCCTAGGTTGGAAAGCACCCAGTGGTTACCAACTAGGCAAATGTGGGTCGCTGCCAGGACTGCGCCAGGATCCAGGCCGTCGGTCCGGACCGACGGCTCAGATAGACGCATCGAGTGCCGTGGGGTACTACCAGGGAGTTCACCACGTCGGGCCAACCCAACTTTCCCGTTGGACTGGCCGTTGTCGTGCAGCGCCCTCGGTCCGTTGTATTCGGTGTTGTCGTGAGGCGCGCCGTGCGCCCTGTTGTGAAGCGCCCTGTCGTGAAGCTCTCTCTCTCTCGCTCTCGCGACTGTGGTTGGCCGTTGGTGCTGTAAGCTGTGGCTCTCTCTCTGGTTGGCCGTGGTTTGTGGTTGGCCGTTCGGAGTTCTTCATCAACGACGCCTGAACGCCGGTCGAAGATGGCAGACACAGGTCAGTACACTTCTCCCTGCTTCCTCCGCCCTCTCCCCGTGACTTCCGCTGCCCCTCCTCCGCTCTTCACCGCTCCTACTCCGCGTGTCCTGCGATTTCTGCCACTCTCCGCTCCTCTGCCGCCCGTCCCCCCTTCTGCTTTC